AGACAAACTGTGGAATAACATCAACAAGATGACACTTTTTACATAATGAAAGCAAAATGAAATTCAAAGAACAGGAGTGAAAAGCAGATGTCAGTAGAGACGATAAACTTCAATAGAGAAAAGCTTGGAAGAACCCTAGAAACACTAACCCACAACATGAACAGTCTTCCAAGCATCCTGCAAAACCTACAACCAGGAGAGGGTAAAACAGATGAATGGGACCTTCTGAGAATCAAATCCCTCTGCACATCCAAAAACTTCTCCAACAGGGTAAAAAGGGAAGCCACAGACTGGGAAAAATATTTGGTAATGACATGTCTGGTCAGGGAGTTATATCTAGAATTTATAGATTATTCAAATGCCACAACAAGATAAAGTTTAACAACCCAATTGAAAAATGGGCACAGGATATGAACAGACACTTCACCAAAGAGGACATTAGTTGGCCAACAAACACATGAAGAAATGTTCAAAATCCCTAGCTCTAAGAGAGATGCAAATCAAAACAACTATGAGATATCATCTCACCCCAGTAAGAATAGCAAAATTTAACAGAGCAGCAAACAACAAATGCTGGCGAGGTTGTGGAGAAACTGGAACCCTTATTCACTGTTGGTGGGAGTGTAAGATGGTGCAACCACTCTGGAAGGCAGTATGGCACTTTCTCAAAAAGTTGGAAATAGAAATACCATTTGACCCAGCAATTCCACTACTGGGAATATAACCTAAAGTAACGAGAACTGCCACCCAAGCAGATATATGTATACCCATGTTTATTGCTGCTTTGTTCTCAACATCAAAGAACTGGAAACAACCCAAGTTCCCATCGACAAATGAATGGATAGAGAAGCTATGGTGTATTAAATGGAATATTATGCAGCACTGAAAAAAACAAAATCTCATGAAATATTATACAAAATGGGTGATCATAGAGGACATTATGCTGAGTGAAATATCTCAGTCACAAAAAGATAAATACTGCATAATTCCACTGTTATAGAACAGGACTGATATGGGGCCTTGGGGGAAACTAAGATAAGAGTGGATAAATAATGTATACCGCATTGAAACAGATGAGGGAGAGAACTGTACAAAAGGAGCATATGATTGGGTATTATTGGCATGATAAGAGTCCAGAATAAGAGTTGCATAGTAAGGTGGTCTAGGAGGACCAGGGGTGGGGAGGGTGGTGGGGGTGGGGCTGTATAACAATGAAGGAACTTTTTTTCCAAAGAATAAAGCAAACCAGGGGTGAGGAAGGACAAGGAGGCAAATGTGCAACAATGAATGAATGGAAATCCAAGTTCTTTCTAAACTTTCATTAAAATATATATAAAATTTAGCAGGTGATCAAAATGTATCTTTAAAATGGAAAAAAAAAGAAAAGAAAAGTGAGGGTCCACGAATTGATGAGATATGCCAACAAACAGATGCAACACTGGAAGCTCTCATTTATGTATGGCAAAAAAATGGAGAAGACCACTACATGGCTAATAGACTGGAAGAGATGCAGCTGTGTGCCAAAAGAATGCACGAATTATCAGTAACAATCATTAATATCACATACAAGTAGAATTTTACCAAAGGCAATTCCAAATGGCTGCAGTGGCCTAATGACAGGACACTGTCAGAAATTCAAGTCACATTCAGAAAAGGACATGGACTGAAGGATATCATTTCTGGTGTCTGCTGAATCTTGACTGAAAGCAGAGATTACTAGAGAGACATTTACCTGTGTTTTGTTGACTATTTAAAGGCATTCACCCATGTGAATCACGACAGGTTATGGATAACATTGAAAGAAAGGGAATAACAATGCACTTCACCTAAGCACAGTTAAGGCTCCACATCAACAAGAGAATACTATGTGCTTTAAACCCAGCTGAGAGGTGTCAGCGTTGTATTCTTTCACTGAGAAGTTAGAACAATGGGCTTGAGCATATCAGAATGGTGAGGACTGTGCAGGACGGGGAGGTTCAGATTTCGGGTTTGTCATTGATACGGTCACTATGAGTCAAAATCGATTAGAGCAGACCTAACAACAATATATGCACATATGAAGTACATGTTGTTGTTGTTGTTGATTGCCTTCGAGTCAAGCGTGACTCTTAGTGACCCTATAAACAAAAGGCTTGAAGCCCCTCTACAACTATGGACATTTATCAAAGTACAGAGAGAGTGCAAATAATCTGAGAAGCTTGATTATATGAAGAATGTGGCTTTCAGAAAGACTGGCTAACAACTTAGAATACTAAAAGAGAACGTGAAAGTATTTACTGATAAACATTAAAAACTATGATTTGTGCCTGAATTGTTGAATGGAAAACCAAGTTGCTCTTAAAAACACTCAAATGATAATTTAAAAATTATTCATTTTAGACATTGAGCTGCCGCTGCTTTGAGGGGAGTCTTTAGAAATCACCACCATGGCGGAAGACATTAAGACCAAAATCAAGAACTACCGAACTGCCCCTTTTGATACCTGGTTTCCCAACCAGAACCAAACCAGGAACTGCTGGCAAAACTACCTGGATTTCTACCGTGCGAGAAGGCACTGACTGCCAAAGGCGGCGCTGTCTCCAGGTGGGAATGGTATCAGTGTGTATACAAGTCCCTCTGCCCCCTGTCCTGGGTGTCAGCCTGGGATGAACGCAGGGCAGAAGGCACATTCCCTGGGAAGATCTGAACTGGCCCACCTCACCTCTCTGCTGGAATCTTAAATTGTGACTTAACTAATAATAAAGACTTACTGGGAAAATGTAAAAAAAATTATTAATTTTAATTAACAGATGCTGCCATGGACGTGCTCACCAAGTTGTGCCAAGAAATCTGGAGAACAACCACTTGGCCAACTGACTGGAAGAGATCGATATTTGTTCCTATCCCAAAGAAAGGTGACCCAACAGAATGTGGAAACTACAGAACAATCTCACTGATTTCACATGCAAGCAAGATTTTACTGAAGAGTATTCAAAAACGACTGGAACAGCACATCAACAGAGAACTACCAGAAGTCCAGGCTGGTTTCAGAAGGGGTCATGGTACTAGAGATATTGTAGCTGATGTTAGATGGATCTTGGCTGAAAGCAGGGAATACCAGAGGAATGTCTGTGTTTCATTGACTATGCAAAGGCATTTGACTGTGTAGATCATAACAAACTATGGCTGACTCTGAGAAGAATGGGAATCCCAGAACACTTGATCGTTCTAATGCGAAGCTTATACTTGGACCAGGAGGCAGTCGTCAGAACAGAGCAAGGGAACACTGCATGGTTCAAAATTGGGAAGGGTGTATGCCAGGGATGCATTCTATCTCCTCCATACCTTTTCAACCTATATGCAGAACAGATTATCCGGGAGGCTGGGCTCTATGAGGAGAAATGTGGGGTCAAGATTGGTGGAGGATTTATCAACAATCTGCGTTACGCAGATGACACAACCCTGCTTGCTGAAACTGAAGAGGACCTGAAGCACCTGCTGCAGAGGGTCAAGGACTGCAGCCTACAATATGGATTGAGGCTCAATGTCAAGAAGACAAAGATTCTCACCACTGGACCAATTGGCAGCATCAGCATGGATGGTGAAGAGATGGAGATTGTACACAGCTTTAGTTTGCTTGGCTCCATAGTCAACAGTCTTGGCACCAGCAGCCAGGAAATTAAAAAGCACATTGCCATGGGAAAGTCTGCTGTTAGGGACCTCTCCAAAGTACTGAAGAGCAATGGTGTCTCTCTGGAGACTAAGGTGTGTCTGATACAGGCCATGGTCTTCGCAATCACTTGTTATGCACCAGAGAGTTGGACAATGACCAAGGAGGATAGAAGGAGAATTGACACCTTTGAGCTGTGGTGCTGGAGAAGAGTATTGAGAATACCATGGACTGCTAGGAAAACAAACATATTTGTCCTGGAAAGGGTTAAACCGGGTGGCTCCTTGGAGGCAAGGATTCTGAGGCTCCGTCTAACATACTTTGGACATGTTGTGAGGAGAGACCGGTCCTTGGAGAGGGACATCATGCTTGGGAGGGTGGAGGGACAGCGCAGGAGAGGAAGGCCCTCTATGAGGTGGATTGATTCAGTGACTGGGATAATTGGGATGGGAGTGTCGGAGACAGTGCGATTGGCACAGGACAGAGAGGAGTTTAGGGCTGTTGTACATAGAGTCACTACGAGTCGCAAGCGACTCAACGGCACATAACAACAACAACAACAACATAAAAATATTTTAGTATTATGGACTAATAAAATATTTTCTATTTGCCAAAAAATGTGTATGATGACTGAATTAAAGACAATCAATATTAGCAAACTTTCATTCAAATAAAAAATAAAAATTAAACAATATCATAGCTTCCTAAATAAATCCACTAAAATATAAAGAAAACAAAGCAAAAAAGCAACATCATGATAAATGCAGAAAATACTGAAATTGTCAAAGATTTTATTCAACTTGAATCTACAACCAATGTTCATTAAAGTAGAAGTCAAAGAATCAAACAATGTGCTTCATTGGGCAAACCAGCTATAAGAAACACATTAAAGGGTTAAAGAGCAAAATATGCCACTTTGAGGACCAAAGTGCATCAGATTGAAGCCAATGACTAAAGAAGACCAAAGAAGAACTGATTAAAAAAATGAAGGAAAAAAGAACTGGTTCAATGTGGGTTTGAAAACAGAGGGTGAAAATAGACATAGAACAATGGTCATTGGTACTTAATATAAAATATAATGTATGTGTATGATTGCATGAAACACAAAGTACAAGTACAAAACACAATGTATACAAATGATTATATTGAAATCAATAAACTAAAACAAAGAAGAACTGGTGTCTTTATGAGTTTATGACACCTAACAACTATCAGTGGAGGAGGGTGAGGATGGAGAGTTCATTTAAGACAAGACTTCTTTGATTATCGCTCCAAGGTATAAAGCACCATTTTATTTTCTTTGATCTAATGCATCATCTTTCACTTTTAACTTTACAAGAACTGTACTTACCATGTCAGTGTCTGACACGGGTCCAAAACTGGTCACATAGATGTCAGTCTTCACTTCAGTCACAGCATCTGAGCCAAAGAAAACAGAAAAGCAGTGTCTCATGAAAATCTGTTGCCTCACTCAGATACCTGTGCAGCATTGTGATTGACAGCCACAAACTACTTCTAGAAAACGAAACTTCACACCACTACAGGAAAGCCCCTCAAAACCTTCGTACCTGTATGGTTTCAGCAAGAAGAGCATGTGGGGCCCCCGCATAAAGTATCTTCCTTTAGACATCATTAAGAATCCCAACAGAGTGTACAACATCAACGCTCGACTCCCACACTTGGCCTACCTACCCTTACTTGTGGTAGGTTACAAATGCTCCGGTAACTGAGAACACAGAGGGATTGCACTCCCCTGGCTGACTGACGTCAATCTAGGCCCTGACCCTGGTTCTAGTTGTAGGGGCAAGTCTGTGTGTGTATGCCATCCTGGCGGGACTATTAATACTGTAAGACTCCTTCTGCTATGTGATAATGGAAATGCACACTGGTAAGGTGCTATCATTGTAAGATGTTAACAGGCTGGAAGGATGAGTGATATGTGGAAGAAAATTTAGCTGGGAGGTGCACAATTGACGGCACTGAGTAAGAAAACTTTTGTAGGGTCATGTAGTCAAGATTTGGAAATGGTTGGTATCATTTGATACACTTTTCTGGTATTTCTTTACTTTGTTGTAACTGTTTATTCATCTGCCTTTCCACTTAGTCCAACAATTTCTTAAGGGCCATGCTGACAGAACTTCTCTATCCTCAGTACATGAAAAGGGGCTTGTTACTCTTGGTATTCACCACATATTTTTGATGTGTTGGATGGAATCCATCACACATCTACCAAGGTTGGAAATAGCACTCTGAAAGAGAAGTTATCACAACACTGAGGCTCTGTTTATCCAATCCCAGCCCTGACTAACCCACTCACTCCAGCATGCCACAGAGATCACAAACCAGGGCGGTGGACTTGAACCTCATGCCAAACACCACACCATTGGAATAAACTCTAACAAGTCCCACTCCAGTCCTGCGTACCTGAACCCAGGAGAGCACAGTGGTAGCACAGCTCATACCAAAAGAACCCGCAGCACCTTGATAGGCAGCATGAGGGTAGTTCTTGCAGTCTAGAGCACTATTCTCTTTTTCTTATAGAGAAGGAAAGGAACATACTTATTACATACGAAACATTTCCACTCTCCTCACTCAGTACTTTATGTATCATTGAAAATTACAGCAAAATGTAAAAATACGTCTGGACCAGAATGTGCAGTATCCTGGCTCAGATGTATTTTTTCTCTTGTTGGCTTCCCATTACCCAGAATCACCTCTTAGTCTTAATATACTAGGCCCCTACTCAGGTACTTATGTGTTCAATATACTCAAGGGCTCTACTCTCATCCACAAACATTCCATTTTACAAAGAGGCCATGAGTATCATTTAATAATAATCAACACTGTCATCAATTCACCAAAAGACACAATTTACTTCCAAGCTTAATCAGTAAATAACACGTCTCTGAAACTAGAACAGTGATTTAAATAGTCAGGCTCTCATCTAGAGCACAGGCTTTCCCCAGAGCTATTTCTGTGTAGGAGAGAGAAAAGACAACATTTCAGAGCTCGAAACATACGCTCCAAAGACTGTCCTTTTGGGCACATTCACTGACTGGGGAAGGAAACGCTTGTCTGCCTAATGTGTGGCATGTTGATCTCAAGCATCCCTACCCTTAAGTTCACCAAAAAATAAAGATATTGAAGGTACTTTTGAATCCAGCCTTCTAGTCCAAACACAGATTAAATACAGAACAACTGTCTATACTAGGGTGGTTGTAATGCAATGTTCTAGCAAAGGAGTGTGCCTTTAGGAACAAAAGGAAAGATAGTGAGGGAAGGTCTGTATAACATAGGGATTTGGTGGACCAAGGCAGAGAGCTACTGAGTCAAGTAGATTAGGGTGGTCTCGTGGCAATCCAAAACTAACTGTGAAGCCAAGAAAGGTCTCCCATCAACAACCTCTCTTCTTACTCCCCAAGCTATTCCAGGCACAGGTCCCAGTAAATTCAATGGCAGGAAGATGTGCAAACATTAAGAGGAGAGTGAGGTCACTGTGAACTGAAAACAAAGTGTCTAGAAGAAGAATTAATGCCTTCAAATTGTGGTATTGGAGTAGAGTCCTGGACATCCCAGAAGAAAGAATAAACAAGTATGTCAAGGAGAAAGTTCAACCAGGGTCCTCCTTAGAATCCTGGATGATGAAGCTTCATCACACATGGGGCGCGTTGTCGGGAGGGACAATCCTTGGAAAACATTATGCTTGGAAGGGTGGAGGGTCAGTGAAAGAGAAGACCCTACACAAGATGGATTTATATGCTGTTGTTATGTGCTGTTGAGTCACCTGTGATTCATAGCGACCCTGTGTACAACAGTTCTGAAACCTGCACTGCCCTGAGCCAGTCTCCCTGACTCCAGCACACCTAATCCACCTAATCCCATTGCCCCAATTATCGTGTCAATCCGTCTCATCTGGGGTCTTCCTCTCCTGCACTGTCCACCTCTCCGAGGACCAGTCGCTCCTGGCCATGTGTCCAAAGTATGTGAGATGGAGCACCGAGATTTATATAGTGACTGTAACAACAGGCTCCAGTTTATCAGAGATGGCATGAGTTAGGGCACGGTTCAGATTTGTTGTTGATAGAGTTGCTATGAGTCAGAATCAACATGATGGCATCTAACAACAACATCAACAACAAAGAGTCTCGTACTGGCTTTCAAAGGCTGAGGCTCCAGATCTCTGACCCTGGCTTACTGAATGTCACAGACTATTCTCCTTGGCTGCTTTTCTGCCTCTTGGACAGTGAAGATTTGAGACCAGTCAAATTCTGATTTCCCCCACCCCTCTCTGTTCTTCTATCAGAAATACTGATTTTAAGGCCAAACAGGAAGCATCTGGCCAAAGGTATTCCATATAAGTGCAAGGCAAGATTCCTCAGCTGCGAGCAAAAGTTAGGGCCCAGGAGGATTTGTGAAAATCCAGTATCTTTCCTCTCTCTTCTCTTTTAACCCTTCTCTTCAATTTAAAAGGCCCCCAATTGTTTCTAAGAAGAAAATAATGTGGAAAAACCATTTCTCCCAATATGGTAAGTCTCAATCAAGCTTGAGCATTGCCTCTGGCTTTGTAACAGGGAAAGAGAACTGAGATTGGTTTAGTAGTTGATCGGGCACATTGGGCATGACATCTTGCTTTATTTCTACCTTATTTAGAATGAATCTAACAGATAGGAGGAGTAGAGGAAGAGGAATGAAGTGGGTGGAGGAGGGGGAAGAAAAAATACTTAAAGGAAGATCGGGGGGGGGGGAAACAAGAAAGAAACTGAACAGAAAAAGGTAAGACAGAGACTAGAGGGAAAGAAAAGGACAGAGAAGAGGAAAGAACCATAGAGAAAACTAAAGGCAGGTACAGCAGAAAGACAGTGAGAGAGCATGTGCAGAAGGGACGTGAGAAAGAGAATTCTCAGGGATTTTAAAAAGAAAAGGAAAGAGGTACTGCTCCTTTTCACCAAAGGAGCCAGAAGTCTCTGATGCAGTGGTGTGTGGAGACAAGGATTGTTATTTTTATCCTGGCAGCACAAGGTAGAAAGAGCCCTAAATTTATGGTTCTATTCTTAGGCATCTGGCCCTCTACTAAGGCAAAGCAAACACAGGTATATGTGACAGTCTCTAGTGGCCCATATAAAGATCACCAAGCCCGAGCACGTCCATTTTCTGGCTAGGAATTCCCGCTGTCACGGATCAGGTGCCTGGTGGTACCTTTCGGAGGTATGGTTTAGTGGCTAGAAGCATGACGAGCTGGATTGCTGTTTAGGCTTTGTCATGTCCTCACTGTATGTCTTTTGTCACTAACTCCCGTGTGTCTATACCTTCATCTGAAAGTTGGAATAATGATAGTTCCTGCAAGAGTGGCATCCACTCCCTAAATAATATACCTCTGGAAATTCTATGAGCCTTGATAAATGTCGATAGTTGTAGATAGGCTTTAGGCCTTTTGTTCATAGGGTCGCTAGGAGTCGTGCTTGACTCAAGGGCAATCAACAACAACAACAACCTTACAAGCACACTGAGGATTTAAAGAGCTGATATGTAGACTAGTACTCAGAACACAATGTTCACCAGTATTGTTCTAGCGGCTGGACAACATGGGCCGCACAAACGTCAGATGCACAGAATCCATGCAGAAATCTGAGGCCCTGGGACTCCGGCACGGAAGAGATTATCTGTCCGACACCTCAATCCATCGGTGTGAAGAAAGAATAGGGAATTTGCTATTTCATTTAACTAAGTGAAATGACCACTGAATTATATTGAAATTGATTAGAGCTACAATCCAGAGTCTAGCTTCTTTTCACAGCCTTCTCAATTGAGACAACCGTGAGGCATGAATTAATGGAGCCTTTTAAAAATTTCTAGCAGATACTCCTTAGCTCTTTCTTAATTTGCTTCAGGGATTCAAGTCCCTTCCAACGCTACCCTCTAAAACAAAAGGTAAATGAAATTATCTTTTTTTTTCTTTTGCACTATTGGAAGTACTTGAAAACTCCTAGAGGGGTCCCCACACATCAGCTTTGTGTACACACACACACACCCTTAACCCTTAATGGGGCCCTCTTTGACGGTGAACGTTAGTACCAGTTCTAGCTTGATTCTTGCTTGCCATTAGTCTGAAAGAGTAAAATCAGCTGATCAGTAAATGCTCACCACATCTATGTATATTGTGCATAACCAACTGTGATTTTTAAACTTCAAATACATCTCCAAGAACCTTTAAATCTCCTCCTTTGAGCAAAAAATCTAGTCTCTGTAGGTCTCTCAACTGTAGCTGCCCCACCCCAGCACACATACACTTCAGACCTAATAGTATCTTTATAACCAACACAAGACAAGTTACCTTCCTGTTCTTTTGAGACTGAAAGCTCCTCTGCAAAGAAAGTCATCTTGGTGCCCCTAAGTCTGCTCTTCTTGTTCCTTTTCAGACT